CTGATCTCTAAAAATGCTGGAAAGACTCGCAAAATGGCTGTAGCATAGCCAGAAGTAAAAAAGGCATCTCCAGAATGACTCATCATTTAAAAAGAGGCATAAAAGTAGTTCATTTGTAGCCATATGTCTTTTAATTAGTCAGCCCTTGACCTGATTTTAAAAAGACCAGTTTGCATAAATGATGGCCCAAGGATCCCTCTCTGCCCAAGGATCCTGAGAGATTTGATAATCTTCCCTTTGTGCTGGGCCTTGCGGGATTCATGTCAGGGAGACATTGCTGGGAAGTGGAGGTGGTGGATGTGGGAGAACGGTGGGCTCCGGGGGTGCCAGAGAGTCTGTGGAGAGGAAGGAATGGCCTAAGAAATGTCCTGAGGATGGGATCTGGGCTGTGGATCACTGGCGGGGGGAGTGCCGGGCTTACACCATTGCTAACTGGATTCTCCTGGGCCAGGTACCCAGAAAGAGCTGGGTCTGTCTGGACTGCGACGAGGGGCGGGTGGCATTTTTCACTGGTGATACCGATGCCCTGATGCTCAGTTTCCCACAGGCCTCATTTACCAGGGAGAGAAGCTACCCCTGGTTCTAGCTGGAAGGTACCCTGTCTGCGCTCCAGCTGTGCCACTGAAACATTTCGGGAACGTACCAGAGAGGACCTCATAAATGACCACGCTTTCCTGAGGAAGGCTACTTCATACCACAAAGCTTGTCTATGCTCTCTGAGGCTTTTAAGACCCAGCTAGACAAAGGCTTGACTGGGATGCTCTAGCTGGGGATGGTCCTGCTTTGAGCAGGGCTTGGCCTAGATGTGCCCTCCCGAGGTCCCTTCCAACACCCACTTTTTATGATTCTGCCCCTCCTAACTGTACACTAAAATCCATCACACACAAAAATCCTTATCTCACATTTTTCCAGCCATCACAGCTAAAACACAGCAGGGCCCTCTGCCTCTTCCAGCTTCTAACAACCCTTAGTCATGGTTTTCTGGATGACGACAGTCTCCTGGACTGTCGACTTAGCTGGACTTACACCACTGGAACGGACATGCATTTGCAGCCATGCTTGTCTAGTTCAGAGCCTGCTGTGCATGTTCAGTCTAGTCACTCACGAGTACTTGTCTGCACCACAGGGGTAACACAGGGGTAGTTGCAATTTGTGCATCAATTTTAAAAGTGCTGCTTAAGCAGCTGGAAAGCTAACGTTGGGATTCTTCTTAAGAAACATAGGAAATACTTAGCTCCCATCATGAATTTTCTTCCCCCACAACAAAGCAACCTGGCAGGATGTGAAATTTTGTTCTACTGCTTGGGCCAAATGGCAACTTCATTAGTTGTATTTTTAAGTAAAAAACCCTCAGGATTTATAGGGCATCACAATACATGAGTCTCCTAGTAACAGTTTCAGTTTAGCAGCAAGATGAGTGTTGCTTTAAGATATACCCTGCCCTCCTCACATGACATCATTTGCAAAGACTTCAACTTTTCAGTGACTTGGTGATGTTCGCTTTTGAAATACGGAACTGGTGAGAGAGGAAAAGACATTTTTCAGTTTGAAACACAAAGAGAATTGTATTAAATGCTGTGTGGAAAGGCTACAAGCAAACTGCTTTGGTTTTCTATGGCCAGACTTAGATGTGCAACTTGATAAGCTGAAATATTCCTTTGAAATGTAAATTATCTCAACCAAAGAATGAGGACTTTACAAGGGCTGGGCACAGTCAAAACACTGTACATTTTGTCTTAGGTTGAAAGGTAAGTGAAATGTAATTGCTTAATAACTCTTTAAATAGCTCTTAACTGGTAGTAGTGATCACATTGCTTGACAGACTTTTAATAACACCAAATTAGCTACTCCTGTGATAAATCATTTTCTGCTTTACATAAACATCAGATCAGTTATGTATGCAGAATCATTTATCTCCAGTTACAATTCAGATTATAATCTGGAGTGATATTACAGCAGATGGTTACCACATCTTGAACTCACAACATTTTTTTCCTTTGATGCTTTTTTATTTGAGAATTCAGGGCCCAGCCCTGCTTTCATGGCAGTCAAAGACAGATTTATAGCAAAAAAACCCGTGGTGTATGTAGCACACAGGATGATATCTACTTATGGTTTTCAACCTTTTTAGACTCCAGGCACCCCTCTATAACTTTTGTGAGCTGATTGACACCCCATTTTTTAAACTATTTTTTATTACTTCCTTGCACAGAGGCTGGGGGGCGGGGGTGCAGGGGAAGAGAAGCAGCCAATCAGGGAGGAGCCTGCATGGGTCCTCAGGTCTGGACAGGGAGGCGGGGAGCAGCTGGGCAGGGACAGGCATGTGCTTTGCTGCCCACGGCACCCTTCAAAGTATATTGAGACACCTCAGGATACTGTGGGACCCCAGTTGAAGATCACTTCCATATATGTAGCTCCAAACCCAGCTGCCATGCATATAACTTCCTAGCTTTTTTCTCTGCAAGCATTTTACTCTGACTGGGGGGCTGAATAGTTTTGCTTCAGATGCCCTTTAAAGGAAATGGGGGAAGTCAGATGATTTCCAGGCTCAAAATAAAAGATTGTATCCAATCCTGTCTGTGAAATCAGTGGGACTTAAGTCTGTGAGTCTAAACAGCTGTTCAAATGTACTGCTCCACAGGGATGGATATTTGTCCTCAGTGGGGGCCAAAATCTGCCTTGCAATTTGTGGATGCAAAACTATAAGAAATCACACGGCACCACACTGTGGCAGCCAGCAGGGTGTATTTTGTGGTCATGGGTTAAGGAAGGATTTCATTACATAATTGTAACAGAAACCTTGCTCCAAACTCCCAGTGAAATCATTCCCCGTTGTGTGAAAGCTCCATTGAAGGGGAGATTTCCTGCAGCGCCGTCTGGGAGATTCGATTGTCAGTCTGTAAAATACCTAAACAGTCCATGGAGCAGGGACAGGTGTCCAGGCCCCCCCACAGCTATCCAGATACCCTAACCAACAGGTAAAAGGCATGCTCACTATTTCTCCCCCTGCATCTGGGCTAATTAATGTCTTATTCCTTACTGTAAAGTGGCACCACTTCAACAGAAGACCCCAGTGGTCTCCAGGGAGGTGAGCGCTCTTGGTTTGAATCTCTTCAGGTAGAAGATCTTGAATCCAGGTCTCCCACATCCATGATAAGTGTTGTAGCCAAGCCAGGTGGTGGCAGTGTGGTGGGGGTGCTGCCAGGACCAAGACTGACCTGGGCTAGTAGGCAGTCCCTGTGGTGGGGCAGCAGGACAAGCACAGTGATGAGCTGGAACCCGGGGCAGTGGATGTGACTCCTGGGGGCTCAGGGTGGAGCAGCCATGGTCTGGTAGGCAGAGGATGCCATGACAGAGCTGCCACGTGTTGCCTCCATGCCCTGCAGACTTCTCTGGGCCAGGAAAGCAGTTGGCAAGGGAGCAGCACATGCAGCTGCCTTTTAAAGATGGCCACAGGCAGCTGCAGCTGTTACCTCCAGCTCCCTCTGGCTGCTGCAGGGGCTGGTACAGGGCCAGCTGGGCAGAAGCGACTGCTGCCAGGAGAAGCAAATCTGGTCCTGCATCACCGCACATGTAAACGCCTGCCCAGATGGGTTTACTCTAGAATAATTTACTCTAGAGTAAACCCAGCCCACAGTATTTGCATGTGTAGATGCTCCCAGTGTGAAAATTGAACATCAAGGTAACTGGAGATGCACCCATGAATTAGTTTATAGATTAGGAACAGGGGCTTAACATGGCATCACAAGTACAATGGGAATCATTGGAGGGACTTAAACAGGTTTCTCCTGTGCAGAATGTACCCTAATCCATGGAGAAAACAGGCAGTTGTACCTAGGGTGACCACCTTTTCAAAATGGAGAAGCAGGAAACATACCTGTCTCTCCCCCGCAAATCCGACGCCCACCAGAGCAGAGCTGAGCAGAGTGGGAGTGGATGCAGGCTGCCCACTGTAGGCTTGGGGCTCCCTGCCCTGCTGCCTATCCCCTGGAAGCCCTGTGTCAGCTGTGCACCCCCTGCCCGCCCAGCAGTAGTGCGCGGCACAACTCCACACTGTTGCCACTGCCACCCCTCCTGCTGCTGGGTGGCTGGGGGGCACCTCAACATGGCAGCACGTCCAGTGCAGGGATCCCAGGGGGAAGACAGCAGGGTGGGAAGCCCCAAGCCTGCAGCAGGCAGCCTGCATATGCCCCTGCCCCACACAGAAATCTGTGTCCCCCCATAGCCGCTCTGGGGGAACACATAGTGGCAGGGCCTCCATCACTGGCGGGGGTGGTCCTCAATCTGCCCCCAGCCCCGTTATGCAGCCCTCCATTTACTTACCTGCTTGGAGCAGCTCTCCATGCCGCCTGGGATTATTCCAAGCCACATGCATGTGTGCAGGAACAGACATGCATGTAGCACCCCGTGTCCCATTCCCAGCTGCCCTAAGCAGCCCCTTGCAGGGCAGAACCCTAAACTTGCAAGGGGAAACCGCTTTCCATGGTGAATCTCTGAACAACACTGCCAGTCCGGGACAAATGCTGCCTGGGGTCATGCAGCCTGGGACCGGGACTTGATGTTCCCACTTCAGGACTATTCCACCCAATTGGGGACAGGTAGTCACACTGGCTATATTCTGTACCTGCAAGAAACTTCTCAGGGAGAATGACTAACAATAATCCAAGTTTATACTGCAGCATATGTATTGTGTAATGTAGTGTATTGCTTGAATAGGAAATGTTATACTAATACTAATGAATAGCAAAAGGGAACAACACTGCAGATTTCTAGGGGCTGTGATTCTGATCTACAAATCCCTGAGGCATCTGGAAGCAGGAATAGGAAGTAATGAGACCTGATGAGAAACCTGCAGAGTCCTGTACCACAAATCCCACTTTTCTTTATAAAAGTGAGAAAACCCCTTTTGGCTGTGGTGCTCCTGCCTGAGTACATATATACTGGTACTATATTAAATCATGGTACTATATTGAATGGATGGTCAATGCTGTCTTTCCCTGGGACTTCTGTTCCCTTTTTCCTTTCCAGTCAAATTTTCCCACTCACTATGAGTTTGTGCCAGGAAATGCTTTTTACTAAGGCGAAAGAAATCCTCCTACAGCCAGACTTTTGTGGAGGAAGCTAAAAGTCCCTAGCACACACGGAGCATTTCCTGTTTCCCCTTGTGAGTATAAATGGCAGATTTTGATCACATAAAGTGGCAAAAATGCACTTTTTGCATAGGTATAAAATAAATACTATTTCCTTGGCAGCCTGGACATGTAAGTTCGTGTCTGAGCATGTGCAGCAGACTGTGCCCTGCCCAGGAAGCTGCTGTTCCTTTCGCTTTCCGATGTAACAAATGCTGCAAGGTGAAAATGCATATAGAAGTTTGAAACTTAAAAACTGGACAGAAAAGCTACAATTTAACCCTGTAGCTATTTTACTGTGAGATGTAAGCATGGAACTTGCTATTTGACATCCTGAAGAGCTTTTTCCAAGTTTCTTGACAAAACTAAAGGCAGCTTTTGGAGGCAGAAGACAGCATAAAACTTCTCAGCAGGATCAGTCCGGTAGGTGAACTTCTGTTGGTTAATAAACATTCAGGAGACCTTTTATGCTCTCTGATAGATCCCACTTTTTTAGGTAATGTAATTATACAATGATTAGATGATTCTCTGACAATTTGTTTTATTATTTATTCAAAAACTACATTACTTCTACATTCAAAATTAATTGCACTCAATATACTTTATAGATATATGTAATAGTAAAAAAAAACCCCAAACCAAAACCAATAAACCTAAAACAAGAACAAAAATCCCCCACAAAACACCCAAACTAAATGGAAAGAAATAGGGGTGCACCTAAACAGATTTTTTGGGCTAGTACCAATAGCTGATTTTTAAGGAGGCATATCAGCCGACACCGATCCGATTTCCAATATGCAGCCCAGCAGCTAGAAGAGTAGTGTCTGGCTGGTAAGGCTGTTATAGTGGAAGGGGAGGAGGAAGGGAAAGGGCACTGGGCGGGGCAGATGGGGGCCCCTGTGGTGAGGGACAGAGTGGGGAAGGGGCATGGGCTGGAGCTGGGGCAGGCGCTGCCCACCCAGGCTGGGGCAGGGTGCGGGACAGAGCTGCTGCCAGTACAGGGAGGATGGGGACAGGGAAGCAGCTCCCATCACTGTCCATTCCCTGGGCTGGCATATGGGGCATGTGCACCTGGCTCTGTGCCGTACCCCCCAGGTGGGGAAGGGTGGGCTGTCACTAAGGTCTGGGGCCAGGGACTGGGCCGGGCTGCACTCAGAGTGGGCAGCAGTAGCATTGGGAGAGGAGTTGTGGGGAGGCTGCAGCCCCCTCCCCCACATAGCCTCCCTTCCAGTGCTGCTGCTTCTCACCCCACGTGCAACCCAGCCCAGTCCCCTGCAGGGAAGAGCACAGCACCACCCTAGCTCCAGCCCACGGTAGCAACGGCCCTTTAAGAATCAATAGAGGGCAAATAGTGGAAATCTATAGATTCCCAGCCGTGCATGTTTTTCACTTCAAAAGTATTTGAAACAAGAACTTGTTTGAAAAGGTTGCATAACAAAACTAGAAGGGAAATGGTAAGAATACGTGAAACAAAGCTTATATTGTTTTAATTGTCATCTTCTATCAAACTGTATTATAATGCTGCCCACTTCTACTGCTAAATCACTAATATAAAATTAGATAATGCTTTTCTTAAAGCCTAAGCTCCTCAATTCCTGCTATTAAATGATATTTACTGCTTTAAGCTGTTTGTGTTTTACAGGAAATTCTAATCCTCATTACCCCAGAGAAAAGCTAGAGAATATTATCCCAGTGTAAGCTAAGGTCTCAGGTGGCAGAAATCTCTCCATGATTTTTAGGAATATCCCATGATTTCTGGGCACCTGACTCATGATTTTTGAAGACTTGGTGTTAGGAGCCCTGCAGGTCCACATGGGAGGCATCTCTTCCACAGCTTCTCGCACTGAACCCACAGCAGCTTCTGAAGGTCTTAGGCAGGGGGCAGGCAGCTCTATGCATTGCCCCTTCTTTGTGGTGGGGCAGAGATCCAGACCTGGCTCTGGGTATTACATAGTCTCCGGCTAAAAGAAGGCAGTTCCTGCACAGCACAGGAAAAGCAGCTCAAAATTCATGAGGCTGATTTGTTGACTGTTTTTTAGGCTCACCCTAACTGTACCTAACTCAAGGTACATCTACACCATAGTTGGTAGTAAAGGGTGAAGATATCAGATGTAGCTGTAAATGCGTTAGTTTGAGTACTGGGAATAGTGTAGCCACATCAATATACAGATTACTTTGCTACTTGGTTATCCTGAAGGAAGACTGCTTTGGGCTTCAAATGACTTTGTATGATCAGTTATTTGTCTACACTGGGAGCTGTTGCCTCTACAGCTGTGCAGACAGAGCTGTAGTGATAGCACCTGCTAACGGAGGTGATGGCAGCTGAGACTAACTGGGGGCTTCCGTAGGCAACAGTTTACTCCATCAGATGCTATAACCAGACTGGCCAAGAGCGGCCAAGACCCTGAGCCTCCCCTTCCCAGGAAAGGACTGCAGCCACTCAGCTGCTGGGGTAAGATATAGGGGGCTCCTCCACCACTTTGTTCATGCTGCATGCACCCAAGTATGCATGTACACAGATGTCTACAAGGGCACGGTATGCATCAAGCTGTAGAATTTCCACTGCACAGAAGTGCCAAAATACTGTTGGGAAGATTAAAAAACAGCCACTTCAGTGATGAGGAAGGAAAAGAATAGGAATTATTGGTTCTTGTGACAGACATATCAGGCTTGTTGTCCACTATTTGGTAATGCCGTATAAAACAGAATTACTCCAGGACACCAGCTGCTACCACACTCCTCCAGAGATGATACCATGTAGCTCTACTGAGCATGGCTATACAATTTACCCATATTCAGTGTAGGCATGTAGTGGATTTAAGTATTTTTATAATTGTGATTCTGTAATATAAAAAAAGTGAAGTAGAATGACATTTAGATTCATACTCATAAAAGAGACATTTATGTGCCACTTACTTGTCTATGAGGCAAAACAGGATTTTGTCCTATGTGCTGTGGTTTCGTAACTCCTATAAAAACTGTGAAATGTCATTTTGAGTCAACTTAAGAACAATATTAAAATAGAGATTGCCACAGGCAAGTATCTGGAAGTGGGAAACCTTAACTTTCCCAGCTTCCAGAGTCACACCCCAGAGCTCCTGGAAGCACATGTCTGGAAGCAGGGAAGCCATGCAGGCACTCCCGAGGTTGACAGGTCTCATCCTGCGTGGAAAATCCAGAGGCACACAAGAGTGAGACCTTCTGCCTGAGGTGGCTGGAGAGTGCAGGACGCTCCAGACTGCCTGTGCTTTCCTGCCATAAAGAAAATAGACGTCCACCACAATAAAGCATCACGAATTATTGCTACCTTTTCTGGCAAACACATTGTAATGTGACATATAGTATGAATGTCTATTTGCTTTTGCTTTGTGCCACCATAAAAATGTGTATGGCATCACAAAGGCAACAAAAGGTGATGTCTGTATTGCTGTGTCTATATTGCTGTTCTGGATTGAATAGACACCTAGCAGAAGTCTGTGACCAGTTTTACAGAGCAGTGGAAAGCCTTCTCATAACATATATGTCTTAAGCCATGTCAAATGGGTTTCCATTTTGATTGACTGGAAGTTAAAACACTCAATTTAGGTCTTCTGTCCAGGGGGAGTGATTCCAGAATAACTATTCCCAATTAACTGTACATGACAAAACACTTATTCTGAAGTAAGAATATCCACAGAGGAAATAATCAGGAACACACTTAATTTATAATCTTATTCTATATTAATTTCCACTCATTTCATTTTGTCAAAACCACAGCTTGCATTTCCATGGCCAAGCACAGTAACCAAATATATCAGCAACTTTTCCTGATGAGTCTTGGTTTTCTGTCAGTTATCCCACCAGACTGTCTAACACTTGAGCCCTGGGATAATTGCATCATTGTCTGTGAGTGAAACTCCTTTAGGCTTCTTGGCCTGTTGGAAATAGCGAAGGATTGTGAAACTGTTGGACACTCTCAGACATTGCAAAACACCATCTCCACACTGCAGAGCATACAGCTCTTTGTGCAAGATGGTCAACACTCCCCACTTTTGCCACATCAATATACGCAGTACTATGAAGAGCTTGAAGAGGACAAATTTCATGGTGCCTTGAACAGCTCTATTGGCATGTAACTGTATCTGAACCCCACGTTTTCTTTTTTAACAGTGCACAGTATTATGGTTCTAGATCTCATTCATTTAATATAGCCTAAAATGTAATGAAAACTCTTTATCATCACCTGACTCAACACATGATTTTTCATTTAGGGAAAGTTGAAAGAGGGAGTTATCAGGGATAACCCTGGAATTTCTGTTTCAGCTGCTGTTTTAATTGTGCACTTTCATAAGTTTATTCAAACCAAGGTTGTTTCCCTTGTATACTTGTACGTGCTGTCCTCCTGCTATCTCATCCAGTACACAAAGGTGGTAACCAGCGCTCTGTGTTCTCCAGGTGAATACTTTTCTGCCTTCCCCTTGTGCTTTTGGATCAAGTTTCAGTGAAGAAGATGCCTCACTTATTGTGCCAAATCTCCAGAGTCTCCACATCGCTGCCTGGTTTTCTCACATTCTTCATTACTTTTCATATTTGCAAGGTGGAATCAGGTAGGTATCTGCTCCATATTAATGTGTGTTCTCCTGCTGCTGAAAGGTTTATTTAGTTTTCTATTGACACATTGCACCAATTCTAGTCTTTCCTGGCAAATGGAAAAGATAGTTAGGAGTTCAAGACTGGATCAGCATCATTGTGTGGGAAGAAAAAATAAATACAGCTAATATAAAAAGTTTTCCTCTTTCTCTCCAGGCATACAGAATAGCTCTTTATCTATCGCCGGATCATATATTCATATTTCTATGCGCTTCTATGCTCCTCATTACCGCAGTATCCTAACATCCTCCTTCTTGTCACTCCACTGGCTTTTCAAAACCAATTTTGAGGAGGAATATTCTTTTTTACATGACATTTAAATTATCTGATATTTGTACTTCATGCCATATTGTAATTAAAACACCAAGGAACCAAAACATTTTACAGGATACAATGTTCGGACAATGTCCAGTGAAAAATGTTGACATTTCTATGACAAGAAAATATGTATGTTGTATTTATTCAGGATATTCTAGCCTTTCACAGACACTGAATTTCTTAGGTTGGGCAGTCACCTGCAGTTCAAATTGCTCAGCCCTCTCTATTTCAAGGCTTTGTTTTCAGTTATGTGTCATTTTACAAGTCCAGGTTGAAACTGCCAGGTTGGTATCCAACTCATGTTGAGTATGTTGGATTTATCTTTTGACTTCTTAGCTTACTTTGTGGTGTTTTTGGTATCTTTTACAGCCCTGTTTACAGTTGTTGGACCTGATCAGCCAATCACTGCCCTTGTGGGGGAAGAGATCGTATTGCCATGCCACCTGTCCCCCAACATGAGCGTTGAGAACATGGAAGTGAGGTGGTTCCGGTCTGAGTTTAGAAATTATGTTCATCTGTACCGTGATGGGAGAGATGATTTTGGAGGACAGATGCCAGAATACAAGAGAAGGACAGCGTTTTGGAAAGATGGCCTCACACATGGAAATGTTTCCTTGAGGATTGTCAATATCAGGCCTTCAGATGAAGGGCACTACCACTGCCTTGTTGCTGATGGTATTAATGATGAAGAAGCTGTAATAGAACTGGAGGTAGCAGGTCAGTGGCTTCTGTCAGTTTATATCTGCATGGTTTTCAGGTTTTTTCTCTTTCTTAATATGCCAACTTCATGGAACCTATGTATGAATTATTTTACAATCAGAGACTGTATTTGAATTTTATTCACATTTCAGAAACATGTTTCATTTTTTGTCAGCATTTTAATAATTTTAAGCAACATCTCAAAAGCAGTTAGTTTTCCTTTGTTCTTGATATCTCAGTGCTTAGGACCTTGTAATTTCCAGCCTAAATTTATTGACATCCAAGTTATATACATTTTTTCCTGGATCAATATTGTCTTTTAGCCTAAATAGTATTTTATCGTATGTCATATTTAGTTCCCAATATAGTTACATAGAGCAAACATATCCCTTTCTGCCTGTGTTTTGCTAGACTGGAACAGCCCAGCTGTTCTCCTAAAATAAACCCTTCTCTTTTGAAATCCCAATCCTCAATTACAGTCCTAATTTGCTTCTTTTTCCATGTAATTTGAACCCTGTCAATCTGTAGTCAGTCATGGGGGCGCCCCCCTCCAGCCTTTACCCTCTCTTTATAAATATGGCTTATTCTAATAATCTACTACCCGTTCTCTGATTGCCTGTGTTCAAATTTCATTGTTTCATGGGAACTTTAGAAGCTGAACTGAACCAGTTCTGTTGTGGACTTGGATGATTTCAATTGGTTGGGATTTATGTTCCTATGAAATGTACACACCCGGGAAGGGAGTATTTCTTATGCCTTTCCTTTTACCTAATTTGGAGTTTCACTGACGAGGCTGCTTTGTTTTCACATCTAAGACACTTGAACAGAAGTATCTATTATAAAAGAATATCCAATAAATTTAGTTACATTAATCATTACTATAAAATGAAGCAATTATGTCATATATTGGGATTACCTGCATTAAGCCCTTGTGCTCCCTTTAATCTGATCTGCTTCAGCTGTACATGCCATTTGCTTTCTTTCCTTTGCCAGACGTCATGTCTGCAAAGGTTCATTTCATTCTGTGATCACTCAGAAACAGGCTTTTGGGACTTTTGCTATAGCCATACTTTGTAGCTCTGCAGAAAATTATCTTTAAAGGCAACCAACAATTATTCATGTCTGCCTTCGGTCAATAAAAACACACTATCGTGTAGTACGATTCCAACTAGCTACACTTTGCTTATGGCTAGAATGCAAACTTAATGCGTTAGGCTTGTGCTGGGTCCAGAGTCTGCACTTCGTGTTGTGGAGTTTCAGTCCCTGAATCCTACAGCCTGTGCCTGAAGGCTACAGTCATTTATAATACCCTCATTACCTACCAAAATCAGATCTCAATGACCATAATTTGTTATTGACTCAGTGACTATTTGATGATGAAATTTCTCAGCTATCACATCCAGGAATATCTAGGCTCTATAGTTGTTAATAGAATTGCTGCCCTGCTCTGCAATATCTAGAAATTCTTGAAAACAAGGTTTCCACAGTCCTTTACAAAATTGACTCATAGATTTAAGAAATATAATTTCTTTCTTTTAATTTGAACCCTGTCAATCTGTAGTCAGTCATGGGGGCGCCCCCCTCCAGCCTTTACCCTCTCTTTATAAATATGGCTTATTCTAATAATCTACTACCGGTTCTCTGATTGCCTGTGTTCAAATTTCATTGTTTCATGGGAACTTTAGAAGCTGAACTGAACCAGTTCTGTTGTGGACTTGGATGATTTCAATTGGTTGGGATTTATGTTCCTATGAAATGTACACACCCGGGAAGGGAGTATTTCTTATGCCTTTCCTTTTACCTAATTTGGAGTTTCACTGACGAGGCTGCTTTGTTTTCACATCTAAGACACTTGAACAGAAGTATCTATTATAAAAGAATATCCAATAAATTTAGTTACATTAATCATTACTATAAAATGAAGCAATTATGTCATATATTGGGATTACCTGCATTAAGCCCTTGTGCTCCCTTTAATCTGATCTGCTTCAGCTGTACATGCCATTTGCTTTCTTTCCTTTGCCAGACGTCATGTCTGCAAAGGTTCATTTCATTCTGTGATCACTCAGAAACAGGCTTTTGGGACTTTTGCTATAGCCATACTTTGTAGCTCTGCAGAAAATTATCTTTAAAGGCAACCAACAATTATTCATGTCTGCCTTCGGTCAATAAAAACACACTATCGTGTAGTACGATTCCAACTAGCTACACTTTGCTTATGGCTAGAATGCAAACTTAATGCGTTAGGCTTGTGCTGGGTCCAGAGTCTGCACTTCGTGTTGTGGAGTTTCAGTCCCTGAATCCTACAGCCTGTGCCTGAAGGCTACAGTCATTTATAATACCCTCATTACCTACCAAAATCAGATCTCAATGACCATAATTTGTTATTGACTCAGTGACTATTTGATGATGAAATTTCTCAGCTATCACATCCAGGAATATCTAGGCTCTATAGTTGTTAATAGAATTGCTGCCCTGCTCTGCAATATCTAGAAATTCTTGAAAACAAGGTTTCCACAGTCCTTTACAAAATTGACTCATAGATTTAAGAAATATAATTTCTTTCTTTTCTAGCTTTAGGCTCTAATCCTATCATCTCTGTGGAGGATTACCAGAAGGGAGGGATCCGCGTGATATGTCGATCAGCTGAGTGGTACCCAGAGCCCCAGGTGCTGTGGAGAAATGCCCAGGGATATCATATAGCATCGCTTTCTGAAATCAAATCCCCAAGGGCAAATGGCCTGTTTGAAACAGAAATTTCTGCTGTCATAAATGGAGATTCAAACCCGAACTTGTCCTGTTGGATCAGGAACAGCCTCCTCGACCGAGAGAAAGAATCAGCAATTCATATATCAGGTCAGTTTCTATCCAAACCCTACAGGGAACCACCTCCGCTGGAACCCAAGTGAAACATGAAGCAAACACACACATGACTCGCATTTCCACAGGGTTATAATAGAAATCCATTTACCTGTGTATTTGTAGTTTATGAGAATCTGGATTTTATCTCACTCTAACTTCCGAAATTTTACCTTAGAGAAACTGGCAGACACAGTCACTCAAAATATCAATGCAGTGTGGTTTTGTAGTCTCAAGTTTGTCTACGTGAATTTTCAGTGGGTATTTCATGGGTATTTTGCTAGCATCTACCTACTAGTATTGAGTTATTCGTGAATCCTTAAAGGATTTTCAGTGCACTGCAACATTGTTCATTTTTTATCAAGTAAAATTCACTAAGTTGTATGTTGTTGCTCCTCTTTTAAGGGTCGTTAAGGGGAAGGAGGATTTATTTAAAAGGCTTTTTCAATATCACTTGTGATTCTGAAGCAATCTGCCCTTCTCTACATGCTGAGGGCATTTACAGATGTGCTCCAGGAGGCTGTGGTGTGTGTGAGAGGCGGGGGGCAGAGGGGGCAAGGCTTTATTTAGCACATCTCTGAGCTTTAGTTTAAAGCCCCTTGCTGCCATTTTTCAGCACAGGAACACTGATGCGCATTATGCTGGAAGCTGCTGGAGCACAGTTAATCCCATACTCCAGCAGATTCAATTAACTGAGTCTGCTCCAACGCACTGTAATTATAGGATGTTGGAGCAGTCTCTCTACATGTGTATACGAGCCCTCAGTGTATTCACTGATCCATGTCATAAATAGAAATTTATTTCCTTTGCAACTGCTACATTTCAGGGTTATTTTGCCTTCCTCTGAACCACTGAGTGTTTCCTGCAGCCAGGGCTGGGGAGTTTGACTGGCATGTCCTGCTGAGGCTTAAACCCAGAAGATCCTGGGGTCTTGCCCAGGGTCAAACCACTTGACATATTTGGAGTCAAGAAAGATCTTTACCCCCTGGTTAATTAGTATGGACTGCGGAGGATTTATCTTCATCTGTAGCAGGGGAGAATGGCCCTCTTCCTTGAGTCTCTCAAGCACAGTATAACAATCCTCGAACCAGAAGGCATTGAGTGCTGTGCTACCCCTCACCCCTGTTTTATCTGTGGCAGTTTAGGGCTTTTTGTCTTGTAGTTGTGTCAGGGTTGACTATAGTTTTTTAAGAGACTGGACAATGGGTTTGTTTGTATAAAACAATTTGGACGGAGAAGATCCTGCCTCAGGCAGGGGGCTGGACTAGAGACCCTCTAGAGCAGGGGTGTCCAACCTTTTTCAATGTGGGGCCGAATCATGAACTTTTTATCACCCAGCAGGAGCGGGCGCTCGCGCGGCCTGTCAAGTCCAGCTGCAGCCTGGGGGCGCAGGGGTCAAGGGGTGCCGCCTGACCCCGCCATGTCCTCCCTGCCACCTGGGCAGCCTCGAGGATGCTCCCACACCTGCGCACCTGGGCTCAGCAACCAGGGGGATATGTGGGGACTCTACAGGGGGGTGCGGGCTATGCAGGGACACCCCCCTGCTTTCTCTCCCCTGGGGCAGCCCGAGCCCGAACCCAAGCGGCAGGGGTCCCTCC